CATGACTTTCCTCCTACCCTCATGGTGCTTGCTGTTCGCATGTATGCGTCCGCTCGTCGACTCTCGTGGGATGCGTGTTTCTCGGCCCCCATATGGGCTACGCGGGGAATATTGCCTGGGTGTCCTCTGGCGATGTTCTGTTTGCAGTGTGTGATGATTACGCCGTTTGACTCGTTGTCTGGGCACACTCAGCACATTGACAGGTCGATTGATATTTACGCCGACGATATCACGATTGCCATCGTTGGTACTGCCTATGCTATTGTTGATGCTGCTTGCTCCCTCCTCTCCATCCTTGTGGACATGCTGCACGCCGTTGGTCTGCCGCCTGCGCGCCACAAGATGACGCTCACTTGCAGTTCGCCCGCCATTGGTATGAAGATTGCCAAACGATTGGCATGGCGCGGGTTTTGCTATCAGTCAGCTCTGGAAGTCCTGGGGATTGAGGTTAATGCAGGCCGCCCTATTCGGCATCGTAGGCTCCGTGAACGTATTCGCAATACTCGTAAGCGTCAACCTCGGCTTCGACGGATTCAAAAAGCTGGGTCCCTGGCCGCTCGCTTCGCTAAGCAGGCCCTTCCGTCGGCCATGCAGTATGGAGTTGGGGTCCACGGGGCTCCGCCGCAGCTTGTCGAGGCCATGAGGGGGATTATGCGGGGCACTTGGTATACTCCAGGTTCTACTACCTCTGCGTGGTTAACATCGTGCCTCCAGGGCTCCATGTATGAGGACCCCCAAGTGGCCTGCTGGGTTCAACCAGTTTATCAGTGGGCCTTATTGTTTCGGGACCGTGGTGTTCAACATAGCACCCTGCAGAAGGCTTGGACGCGACAGGTCTTCCGTGTTCTCCAAGCGGCGAAGCCTTGGGCTAACGTCGCTGGCCCAGCAGGAGCTATGCTTTTGGCTGTGCAGGCGCTTGGCTGGAGGACCACCTCAGCCTCTAGTATCGTTACGGATATTGGAGATCGTTTGGATCTTTTGACAGATGCACCTGTGACGGTGCGTGACCTCGCTCGTGCTGCTGCTGTCCGCCGTATGTGGGAAGCATGGAGTTTGAGGTCAAACCCTGCTGATGATAATATGGACCCCAAGGAGCCTCTCGGATATTGGATGGAGCCTATTTTGGGACTCTTGAAGGATCGTCCGCATGACCCCGAGGAGGACCCTGAACTCGACCCTGAAGGCCCTTGGAAGCTTACGGTGTCTGAGGATGGGCTCTTGAGGGCCTTGGTGGGAGGGGGACTGTGGTCCCCGCATCGACTTTATCGGCATGGATACGCTCGCACATCTTGCTGCCCTGCGTGTGATTGTGATGTATGCACCTCATATCATATTTCCTGGGAGTGTGTCGGACGTGCAGCACAGCAGCGAGCGGCAATGCGTAGTGTTGATTGTCGGGGCCTGCCGCCACGCTCGCCTGGCTCCTGGTTCTGGACAAGAGGCATGGCACCTCGGTCTTGTTTTCCGCCTGTGCCCCCACGAGACGATAGTGGACGCTGGCACATTCAATACGGGTCCCTTGACAATGTCACGGGGGACATCTACACGGACGGTGCGTGCAGAAAAGCATGGTACTGGCCCGAGGCTACGAGAGCGGGATGGGGATTCGTGAAGTATGTTAGGCGTGACATCCAGCTGCTTGTGTACGGAGCCCTTCCTGGACCCATTCAGAGCTCGCCTAGGTCTGAGCTATATGCCTTTCTGCAGGTTCTATTTGTCTGCATCTTGCCCATACATGTGCATACTGATTTTTATGGCCTGGTTGAGGGCCTTGTCCTGGGCCCTGGTTTCTGTTGCGGCCCCAGGCGACCAAATACCGACCTTTGGGAGGCTATCTGGAGAAAGCTTGATGACCTCGGCGGCCTTGGAGAGGCCATTCAAGTTTCGCATGTCAGGGGTCACCAATCTGGCGACTCCGTTGAGGCTCGGTCCAACAGATGGGCCGATTTCGCCGCCTGCCGCGGGCGGGACCTCCACTCAGCTAGCAAGGCTGCATTCGCTTCCATGAGGATGGCCCTCAGATCTGTGAGGGGTGTGCTCAAATGGCTTTTGCAGGCTCACTCGTCTCACTTGTCACATGGACGCGTGGCCACCTTTCGGCGCCCTCGGAAGATGAAAGTTCGGTCTATAGCCAAAGCTTCCAGGGCGCCTGAAGCGCATTTGAAACACGTTTTTACACCGGTTCGGGACAAGTTCTGGCGGTGTGATTTTTGCAAGAAGGGGGCCAGATCTGAGGAGAGGGTGCAGCGTCTCTCCAACTGGGTTTGCCCTGCGCGTGCTGCGTCCAGCCGTGGACACAGGGGGACTTCGCTCTCTCCTGGTGGTTTGGACGCTGGCTCCGAGCCTCGTGAGGCTCTGCCCCCCCTGACTCAGGGTCAGCCTGGCAGAGGGGTGCAGCCTATGGGAGTTTCGACCTCGTCAGGCACCGAGGTTGACCTCTCTGGGCCTCTCCCCTCGAATGCTCGCTGCACCTTGGGTGGTGTTTTCCTGGGCGAGGGGGTTGGAGAGGACGAAGCGACCCGCCTCCCGCAGCCCCTCTGTGGGCCGTGTGACGCGGCAGAGGCTGCTGCGTGAAGAACCCCCTCGGAGAAGGTCTGCCTCGCCGTCAGAACGTTCCGTGCGGGCTAGGGTAAGTTTCGCTCCTGTCGTTTCGAGTCGCACTGTTGATGCTGTTGAGTTGGCACAGGCTGTCCAATCTATTGATCGGTCCTCTCCCTCCCCTGACTCTCGCCCTCTTGTCGTGAGTCGTCCGAGTCGTCCGAGATGCCCCGACAGGGAAGGACCAGCCTTTGTGCCTGATATGCCTCAAGCAAAGCGGCAGCGGCTTCAGCCTAGAGGCCGCCCGTCGCTGTCGCAGACTACGGTCCCAGCCGCATTTCTGCCGTTGACGGGTATCGTGCCGCCAATCGCTTCTCGAGGTCATAGATGCTGGGTCTCAGAAGGCCACATTGTCCTATGCATTCGATGCGGGTTCTACAGCTCAGGTGTGGCCAGTCACCTACTGTTGGAGTGCTCACCGCCTCTCGTCATGAGCGAGCGAGCCCAGCGGAACCGACGTTTGTTTCTAGGTCGGTTTCATCCTGCCGACGAAGGCCGTGTGAACTCACGGCGCATTCCACAACCAAGGCCCCTCAGGGTGGACGATGCTGAAATTTCCTGGCTGCGTCTCCTTGGGCATTGAGTTGTTTCTTTTTTTTCGGCCCGTCCCATTCTAAATCTTCTGGACTCTGGCCGTGGCTCCTGGATCGGTCCTGGTGCCTTTTAACTCGTTTTGTTTTTGTTGGTGGAGTGGCTGGGTGGTCCGTTGTCGGCGTCCGTGTGTCGCGTGCGCGCGCGATCCTCGCGCGCGCGCGCACCTGCTGTACGACGATTACAGCCAGGACCGCCCATGCCGCCGCCGCCGCCGCCCGTCGTCCGTCGCCCCCTGCCGCGATCCTCTTGGTGGGTGGGGGGCGTCACCTTGGACGTTTGGGGGAGGCCGTTTGCCCCCCCCGCTTTAAGGTGTTTGTCTGTGCTCCGCGCGACATTTCCCTATAGCGTCGTATCCTCCTCCTCCTCCTCCTCCTCCTCCTCCTATTCCTCCTCCTCCTCCTCCTCCTCCTCCTCCTCCTCCTCCTCCTGCCGAGAGCGAGGAGGCTTCGAGCTGCGCGCGGCGGGAAGTTGGAAAAAAGCATGGGAAGAGATATGGGAAGCGGGAGAGTATATGGGGAGTCCTGTTACTCGTGTCTACTTGTGTGTGTGTCCCTGGGCCCCTTCGCCTCCCCCCGGGCAGTCCCGCAGATCGTGGCGCTGCGTCTTCCCCACCACCGGGCGTGCTCGCCCGGCTGCGGGCCCCGGGGCCCTCACGGGTCGATGCGGCTCGAAACACGGCGTAGAACGCTGGGGTTTGGGGCCCCGGTTGCGCTTCTCGGGGGCGGCAAAGATGGGGGGGGATGACTAGGGGGGGGGGTGGATCTCATGGCGGGGGGCCACGATGTTTCCCCAGGTTTCATGGCGCCTCCTCTTGTTTCATTGCGTTCCCGGCCCCCCCCGCTCGGCCGCGCACATGCCGCCGGTCATGATCTGCACCCCCCCTCTTTGGCACCCCCCTCGTGGCCGCTCCCGGGTTTCTTCGCGGTGTTTTTTTTTGGGGGGGGGCAGCGTCAGACCTCCGGGGTTCTAGCTGGCCTCAACAGTCAGGAGGAAAAGAAGCACACAGACGCAGTGAATTCTCGATTTTCCAGAAAACATGGGAAAATATGGGAAGTGGGCGGGAAGACAGAAACCCAGAAAATATAGGAAAATATGGGGGATTCTTTTATTTGTGTGTATTTATTTGTGTGTCCTTGGGCCCCTTCAAACAAGCCCCCCGAGTAACTACAGCCCGAGGCGGTCGCACCGCCTCGGTGCCGCCTACAGCGGCGTTGTTGTTGGGGTGCTCTGCGCCCCATGGTTGGGGTGTTGAGACCGGCCTGGGCTACTCTCGGGCCGGACGAAAGGGGGGAATTGGGAAAGGGGGGGTTACGAAATCTGCTGCACTCAGCTGGTTTCGGCCCCGCCGCCGGGCCCATTCCTCGATACGTGGGCGCCTCCGGCGCCGGGAGGCGCCGGGAAAATCAGCTACGTGAGCCGTTTCTCAACCCCCTCTTTGCTATCCCCCCCTTTCGCCCGGCCCGATACTCGGGAGGCCTGTTGAGCCAGCTGGGACTACTCCTATGGGCAGCCGGGACTACCTGGGGCGCCGTCTGCGCGCAACCCGAAGCCTTATTATAGAGAGAGATCGCACGGTGGAGCCGAGAGCCTGCCGCGGAAGCGGTCGTCGTCTCCTTGCCCTGAGATCCGGCGTCGCAAACAAAGACACATCCCACATCGCGAAGCATCGCCACCAGAGCCCCAGATCCCTCCTTCTTCTAGCATTGTTCGAGACGCGTCGATCCGTGAGGGCCCTGGGGCCAGAAACAACACAACATCGCCAGTTGTGGAAAACATGCGACGCCAGGGTTCCTGAGACCCCCTGGCAGGCGAAGGTTGTCACTCGGCGCACTGCGGTGGAGTCGCAGCTGTACGAGGACCTGCGGCCAATTGAAAAACCAGACCCCTGCGGATCCACTCGACGCCGGGGTGCCGGACACCCCCGCTGGGGCTGTCTCGGCTGCAGACATCTGTCGAATCCAATCCTTACTGCCCCCAGCCAGCGATTCAGAGATCCGACAATCCGACCTGCAGGGGCAAGGTTCGCCTGTGCGTGCCCCGAGGACCTGCTGCGGCAGAGCCCGGAGCAGATCAAGAGGGTCGAAGAACAAAAAATTGCCCATACATGAATTTTCGACGGTTCGCCCGGATTTCTCAGATCCGCGTGGGAACCCCTTGGCGGCGCCTCTGGCGGCGCCCCTGGCGCGCTCCGCGCGCCAGGGCGGGGATTCCAGCCCAGATCGAAGAAATCCGCGCGAGCCGTCAAAATGTGTATGTTCATGCCGTGCTGTGTCCCTCTGGAAGGCCAAGCAGGTCGCCGACAAGTGCCGCGCCGACCTGGACAGGAAGCTGCTCGCGGCCGCGGACCGCAAGGGCGCCTCGCGCCAGGTGCGCAGCGGCAGCGCCCCCGCCCTCGGCGGGTGCGCCGAGCTCGATCGATCGACGGGCCCACCGAGGATCGGGCGGACCAACCAAGGCCGCAACCAACGCGCGGCCCGACGTCTTGGGGAGGACGCCTCGGCCACCAGGGCAGACGCCGCCTCGGGCGCGGTGGACTCGCCGTGGGAGTGGCCGCGGTGCCGGCTTCGTCCACTTGGGGCGCAGAACGCGGGGTCTGCTGTGGGTTTGCCGTGGTGTCGGCGCCGCCCCCTTGGCATTTGGGCGCGTCGATAACAAAGTGCGCGGCTACAGTCGAGGCTGATTAGTGGGTCCACCCTGTCAAATCAAGAGTACCTTCGTGCCCTGTGTTTCGCGACCCATGCCTTCTACATTCCTATGGCACTGTGGCCATCGGAAGGGTCTTGTGTCCTCTCGCGTGTCCTCTCCAATCAGCCCCGACTGTACTTTGCGCTGAATTGGGATCAAATGAGTAGTAGGAGCGAGGAGGAGCAGGAGGAGGAGGAGAAGTAGGAGGAGGAGGAGGAAGGGAGTAGGAGGAGGAGGAGGAGGAGGAGGAGGAGGAGGAGGAAGATGGAGGAGGAGGGGAGAGGGACGGGAGGAGGAGGAGGAGGAGGAGGAGGACGAAGAGGAGGAGGAGGAGGGGGAGGGAGGAGGAGGAGAGGGAGGAGGAGGAGGAGGAGAGGAGGAGGAGGAGGAGGGAGGAGGAGGAGGAGGAGGAGGAGGAGGGTACTTTGCGCTGGATTGGGATCAGACCGAGGATGCCGTGGTCCGCGTTCTGGCGAAGCGCGCCGACCTTGTGCCAGATCTGGGGTCCCAGAGGGGTCCCATGCCCTCGTGTGGGCCATGCCATGCCCTCGCCGCCCCTCCGAACAGCGCCGACGTCGCGAGTTCATGCCCGCGCGCGCGCGTAGAAAGGCAAACGGAGGTGCTTCACAGCTTTCGGCTTCTGGGGGGCCCCCGCGGGGCCCCAGGATCGTCAAGAAATTCTTGTGGGTTGAAAGGGAGGGCCCTGTGGAAGGGGTCTAGTCTGCTGGGGCAACACATGAAGAAGGCATCGGTCCTGTGAGAACCAGGAGCATCCCGGGGGGGGGGGGGGGGCGGGCGGGAACGAAAGAAGGCTCCCAGGAAGGCTCTGAAGTGGCCCAACCGGACCGCCACCCCGCGCACCAAGAGCGGCCTTTCGGACGCCTTGCTCTGGTGCCACGGGGCCCCAGAGCCCTCGCCGGCTCGCTTCGGAATTCTAATCCGAACGCGCCCCAGGAGAGTCGTCTTCAGGGGGAGCAGGAAGAGGAGGAGGAAAAAAGAGAGGAGGAGCAGGAGGACGAGGACGAGCAGGAGCAGGAGCAGGAGGAGGAGGAGGAGGAGGAGGAGGAGGAGGAGGAGAAGGAAAAGGTCCAGGACGACGAGGAGGAGGAGGAGGAGAAACAAGGAGGAGCCCTTCTGGCGCCGACTCCGCGACGCGGGCTGCCCCCTGCGGGCCCCCAGAGCCCGCCAGCGGGCCCCGCGGACCCGCCAGAGGGAGGTACAACCCACATCGGGAAGCACAACAAAGCATGTCGGCGAGTGACCCCATCAATTAGTGATGGTTTTCCCCTGCATTGTTTTGACGATCGACGCGGGCCCACGTCGCATCTGAAGAATGCGAGGAAGTACGCGCCGGGTGCCAAGGGGGGACCACGGGCAGCACATCTTCTGGGGAGCAGGTGGCGAAGGGGCAACGCGTGGAATGACGGAGTTGACGGAGTGCGCCGGCGCGCGGAGGGCCAGGGCGATAGGTTCCTTGGAGCGGAAGACGAGTTTCGTCGAGGAGATCTGACTGAACGAACGCGCAATTTCTGGCATGGGAGACCGGCGGACGTACCGGGGTAGTGGGCGAACGGCGCACCGCAGTGCGGGGGCGCGCGTTGTCGGGGAGATGCGGAGGCAATT